GGCCTCCAGCAGCACGTGCCCCGCCACGGTCTCGCCGCTCGAGTAGCAGCCTTTGCGCTCATCCTCGAACACCAGACCCAGACTCTTCACGCGGCCCTCGGAGCCCACGGCCGCGGGGGACGCCGCCTCGCCGCCCATCCCGCCGGGCGACGCGGCCGCGCCGGGGAGGTCGGCAGGCCGGCAGAGTGGCGCCGCTGTCACGGGCACCGGCCGCTCGCAGAGGGCAGTCGCGGCCACCTAGAGCCGCGAGGAACCCCCTGAGCCGCGGGGCCTGTAGCTTTAACAAACCCAGCTGGGATGCGAAAGGGGCCGGGACGGCCCGCCCCCGGCGCGTGCCCATAGGCCGACTCTGAGCCCCGCGTCACGCCGATTGGTTGTAAGTGATCACTGAATCATTTCATTGGTGCCCCAAAACACCGGCTGGCGCAGCAAGGCTGTGCGTGATCAGTAGGTAGTAGCCAATCGGAAAACGGAGCGCGCACGTGCACAGGCCGCTTATTGGCTGCGGCAAGGCAGAGGCCTGAGACACGGACCAATAGTGAGGCGGTGCGCCCATGTGGACAGAGAGTGGGAAACAAAATTTGATAGGGAGGGGGCGGAACCCGGGGGAATCTCCGAATTGTGGCTTGTCATCGTCTCTATGGTTACGAAGGAGGGCGGGGTTTTGGGCAGCGTGCAGACTGCGGAAACCCTGGGTTTGCGGGAGAACTACTGTGGTTGCCTTATGTTTTTGATGACATCTGCCATACGCGAAAGGAAGTAGAGTCCCAGAAAAACAGAACTCAGAAATGTTTCCTTGTGAGACTTAGGGACCGGCCACCTGAAAAAAGGCTTTAATGGATAACTTGCCATCCCTGAGCCTAGGGGTTTCCAAATTCCCACCCTAAGAGTCCAGACAGGAGTAACAGCTGCAGTTCACCACTTGTTAGAATCCTAGGAGTTCTGCCTGGGGCCCAATAACCTCTTTAAACCAGCCAGCAATAGCTGAACTTGTATTTCCTTCTGCTCTAAATAGGGTCACGAATCAGGTTGTTACTAAACTACATCAGCTACGCAAGTTTTTGCCCCACCCCAGAGCTTTTCCTGACCTACAGTATCAAGTCTCCAGTGCTGGAGGACGCTCTCCCTGCCTACAACGCTACTTTCGCCCGTTCTCATTTTCATTTTTGCTCTCCATCCATTCCCCAATCTACACAGAGCGTGGTGTCCTTGGCTTTCATTTTCAAACTCTTTTAAGTTCTTTCCTCATAAAATTTCAAGTTCGTCCACTGTTCTCAGGGACTGAGAGTTACATACACTAAGATTTAAATTCACTTCGGATCGTTTTTATTATTTTTTAAACAACAACAAACTAAAGGTTACTTTCCTGTCCTCTCTTAGTTTAGATGATTAATGTGGAACTTTACTAAGGTTTGGTAAATGGAATTGGAAAAAGCCATAAGTCTAGTTATGCATATACAATTCTGAAATAGCTGTTACTCTTTGACTATGTCCCCTACAATTCCCCCATATTCTCTTATTCTGCCAATTAATGCCACCTGAGTGTGCATACTGATTTGCATATTACCCGTCACTCCTCTTTAGACACAGAACTTTTTTAATCAGTGTTGTACACCTGGTATCTAGCAGAATGTAGCCTACTTAAATACTCGATACTTGCGGGATTGAATGAACTCAAGCCTGTGCAGTATCATGGTATGACTCTGCAATAAATGAATAGTACTTTCACTCTGCACTTCATCCTCTCTAGTCAGGTATTTTTCTCTCCTCCATTGGGACCTATGAGTGCTCAATGGCTGATTATACATGTGACATTCTGTGCTGAGAACGACCAGACTTGCTGTGCTCATTTGTCAGTTAAATAAAACTGACTATGGGTAGCAAAACATATGATCAAACAGTGGCTGAAACAGTAAGTGTATTTCTTGTTTACTTGGCAATAAGTGCCATGGTTGACACTCTCAGGGTTGACACTTCATGGACTCCTTTTGTTTCTCTCTGCTGACTCTACTTTTTACCTGGTGGGAGTACACACCCTCCATAAAAGGAAGGGGAAGGACATTGGTTGTTCTTTTCCTCTTCTCCCCTCTTCCAAGGAAAATATATCTCCTGGATTCCTCAACGGTCTTCTTACCTGTTGCTAGCCAAAACTGAGTTATTAGTGGGCAGGCAGATCATTAACTTGCAAAACAAAAAGAGCTTTACAGTCTTTACCACATTGCTTCTTTTCCAAGGTTGAACAAAGTCAGAACTCTGAATAAGAAAGAGGAGCTGGTGACTGCATGGTGGCAACACAGAGCTGCTCAGGGGTCAGAGAGGGTCAGGCTAAGATTAGTATCAAGCAAAGCTGCCTCAGCTAGAACTTTAAGAACGAGGATATTTGAACACTACCAGCTATTCTACAGCTAGGAGAGGGTAATTTAAATGGTGACCCATTTCAATCACAGATAAAATTTCATTGTTACTCTGTGTACATTGCAATGGTGATTCAAGTTCAATTATTTAGTTAATGAATCAACTTCATTAATATAGCAGCATATAGGCATCTAAAAAAAAGCCACCCTGACAGACTGTCTTCCAATTGATGTGCTTATATTATAATCATGTTTGTGCTTTTGCTGTAAAGGTATCATTTTATTATTTGCCTTGATGCCTTTGCGAGTATCTGTTCTCCCCTTCCTGCCCTCTTTACAATTGTTGAATACCTTATAGTAATCCATTTTAATGTACTTGTTGATTTTTGAGCTGTATCTCTTTGTAGTTTGCTGCTGTTTCATGTATTTTTCTCTAGATATTAAAGATGGCAAAGGAAAACAGAAAATAAATTGCTAACAGATCTTTTATAAAACAAATGCTGAAGGAAATTCTTCAACCTGAAATGTTTGAGATAGTTGGCAGGTATACTATATATACATATACTAATAACTCCACCACCAAGATTTGTACTTTTGGTTCAGAAATATGTAATAAAAAATACAACTCAAAAAAAAATTAGCCTCTTTTAACTACCTAGATTACTAAAATAGTCCGTTTTAATTATCCTAGTCTATTTTAATTATTATCTAGGCTGTACATTATTAGCAAAGTTTCCCATAGAAACATTTTAGGTTGAAGAATTTCCTTCAGCATTTGTTTTATAAAAGATCTGTTAGCAATTAATTTTCTGTTTTCCTTTGCCATCATTACTTAAGGATATTTGAGCTGGATATAGAATTCTGGGTTGTCAGTTCTTTTGTTTCACACTTTATAGTTACAGCTATTCCACTGTCTTTGGAGACCCTCAGTTTCTGATGAGAAAACCAAGCAGCCCTTCAAACAGTTTTTCCTATATTTTAATGGGTCATTTTTTTTTCTGTATGCTTTTTTTCATTTTAAATTTTCAGCAATTTGATTATAATATGAATAGATTTGGTTTTATTTGAATTGTTTTTGTGAGGGGGTCTTGGAGATGCAAATTTATGTCTTTCACCAAATTTGTTTTCTGCAATGTGTCTTTAATTTTTCTCTACATCAATATTTTCCCCTCCTTATTGAGACTTCAATATAATAAATAGTAGTTCTTTTTTACATTGTCCTGGTGATCCCAGAGGCTGCTATTTTTAAACTCTTTCCTTTCTATTGTAGAGGTTGGGTAAATTCTATTGATCTACTTGCAAGTTCACTAACTCTTCACTCTATCACAGGAGAAGGGATACTCTTACACATTTCATTCCTCCTCATTATTTCTTCTATTCCTGTGCTACCCAGTGGTCACTTTATCCAAGTGTATTGATAGATACTTGGCATTTCTCTAGAAGCTTTAGCGACACATCATGTTGAGTAGCTTTGTTTAATTGGAGTCACCTTACATGCAAATTAGTAAGGGAATAGAGAGAAAATGTGGAGATTTCCTTATACTCCAAGTCACAGGGGTTTTTGTTTCTTCTGTAAAATTGAAAATGATGTTTTTTTCCCCTTGGGTTCCTGAGCTACCACTACCCTTGAATGCAGGTCAAGGACTGAAAACATCCTCAGAGCAGAGACTACAAAAGTAGAGAAAGACAGAAAAGAGAAAACCCCTAAATATTCCTGAATCCATCCTGATTATGCAAATAAATAGATGGAAAAGAAACAAATCCTCCCCACAGAAAAGTATTCAATGATTAATGTTGATTTCCTTCCCTTCCCCCACCAGTAGTGTGCTTGATTCAATGATTTGTTTCCATCCAAGTAAACATTATGTTGGCCAGGTTAACTTTACCGGTGATAACCTTTGTTGATAGGCACCCCTGTTAGGATGTCATGAAAAAGGTACTTCACATCATTGACATGATTTCTTAAAATTAGCAACATGAGAAAAACATCAGGGAAACCCAACTTAAAGGACATTCTACAAAGTACCCAGTAAACGTTCCTCAAAACACTTGAAGCCATAAAAAAGATTGAGAAACTCATTGACCAAAGAAGACTAAGGTGACATGAAGACTTAATGCAAAATAGTAGCTTGGATCATATCCTGAGAGAGAGAAAAGACATTACTGGAAAAACTAGTGAAGCCAAATAAAATCTGAATTTTAGTAAAAACAATGTACCAACATTTGTTTCTTACTTTTGTAAAATGGACCCTAGTAATATAAGATTTTAACAACAGGAGAAATTAGTTGGGAGTGGTGTAAACTTGGGACTTTATATTATCTTTATATGGTTTTCTGTAAATCTAAAATTGTTCCAAAGTAAAAATTTACAGGAACAACAAAAATAATAACAGGGATTTCCCCCATACCACCCTGTTTGCAGGGGTATGTTATCTTGGTTCTCTGACTAAAATATGAGATTCTCTCTGTGAGCTTGCTGAATTGATTTAAAGTTCCACACTGGGATCACTGCTGGTTCCAACACAGGAGATAAAAGAGAGAAAACCTATCACAGAGTTCAAAATTTCATATGGTTTTCTTTTCATGTGTTGAATTCTTTCAACACACCTGCTTATCTATTGTTATTTTTACTATCATGCTTTTTCATTGTGCTTCTATCAGAGTTTTCATTGTGATCTCTATGAGAGAGGTCAGAGTGCGTCATTCCACATGGTCATTTCTGATCCATATCTTTCCTGAGGCTTCAGTTCTTGTAAAGTAAGTATCTTGCTGTATAAGTACCAATGCTCCTTCATTATATTTTTGTGTGGTGCATGCAGTCATCTTGTTTTTACCTAG